AAAAAAATGTAAGAGAGAGAGAGAAGTAAATGAAGTCGTAGAATATAATGTATACAGTATGTGTTAAGCTTTTTATTCTGGTGATGGTAAATTCGTCTGTTTATCCCATTGTGTTTGTTGTGGATATATAAAATGAACAAAAAGTTAAACAGACAAACACGTTTTTGAAAGCTACAGTTCTTGCAGCTTGTGATATATCTGACTTGGGGCTTTGCTATGTCTGGCTGAAATTTTTGTTCTCTTTTGTTGCCTGTGTGCATATGGTATTTGTTTAACCACAGTTAAGTCTACTATAGCACACCTGACATCTTAAAACATGGAACCCAGAGGAGAGTAAGAGAAATAACCGGTTCCTCTTAGAAAATAAAGTGGAGACATGTGTATGGAAGTATAGATCTTGCAGATAAATCTGTTTTTCAAGTAAACAAGCACAGTCTAGACAGACTTTCAGCAAAGGGATAAAGAGTTTTCATTTCAAATATCATTGAGCTGTGAAAGCAAAGTTAGGGGCAACTTGTTCCTCAGGAGTTTTGCATTAAGGTTTTTATTACACGCAAACATCAGCATTTAGTATTAATAAAAAAAGTGTCAACTTCAATTTTTAGAAAATGAAGCTGTGGGTTGTGTGTCTTCTAAGCCTCCTGTAAGGAAACTGAGCACTGTTGTTGCTGAAACATATTCTCAATTTTTGTACTCTGTGGCTGCAAATATCCCCCCGATTTTCTAATTACTAAATTTGCAGCATAGATCACTGACACACAAGCGTGTTTATCCATTTTAGCCTATTTGGCAAATATTTATCAGTGCTTCTATGCGTGTAGCAGAACAACATCCCCCCATTAATATATTCCATTTGCAGTGAAGGATATTAAGGTACTGCAAATGAGGCCATTGCACATTAAAATATTTGTTTTAGGCTACTTTTGTGTTTGAATCTGGTAAAGCTAATAACACTGGCAAGCTTTGCTGTCAGGGTGCTGTGTTGGTGGCCTTGCCTTGAGACTCAGGCTGCTCTTACTTATATTTTCTTTTGCCATCGGTGCAGATGAGGCCTGGTGCAGAGCAGATGGATTATTCATTGAACCATCTGAAGCAGAGCTGTGTTCCTGTTCTAAAATTCCACCTTCCCCTTTTCTTCAAATCATTTTTCTTTTTTTGCCTGATCAATGTTTAATTTTAAAACCAGCAATGCATATTCATTCCTTTCTTTTAATCTTGGTCGTCCGACACTGTGCGGCAGGAAGCAGGTGGCGCCTGGGGGCCTCTGTGTCGAGTTTATTACTCCCCACCCCAGCCTTGTAATGATTTCCAGTCTCCCGCCAGACATGGTCCGTAGCTGTTACGCTAAAAGGCTTCTGCCAGTTTTCTCCTGTAAATGAAAGCTCCTTTGGGAGGAAAAGAAGCTCTACTTATTTATTGGGGTTATGCCTTCATGCAAAGGTTAACATGTGCGACTCTGACGGCACACCACAGCGCTCCTTTCAGCCCAGACACTGCTGGAGTTCTTCCCCATTGGCACCTGACATCCACCAGCCAGGCTTGTGTAGCTTGAGCCAATGTTACAGATGCAGTTAGATATTCACATTCAGCTAATGTGTTCGCAGGTGGGGTTGGCAGTAGCATGTCAACAGCAGAAGCATTGGCTCCAAAGACCGGCTGGAGAGATGGTTGGCTGGAGCCTGCCCTACCTGGCCCTCGTTCTGCCCCCCCAGCCAGCATCCAATTGGCTAGGGGGAGAGGGGGCAGAGCAAGGGCCAGCAAGCAAGCCCAGGAAACTCGCACCGGGTTGCAAACCCTGCCCACCGCTTTGATGAGTGATTGGCAGATCCAAGACTTGCTTTGTAATCAGGTTGGGCAGTTCAGATCAGAGACCCAATCTGGGTAGATTCAGCTGTTATCTAACACAGCATATTATTATACCATGCAGCACAGAGAAAAAACTACAAAATCACATTCTGTCTTGTCCAGCAGCGTTTCAAATTCGCCAGGAGCATTTTGTACCTGGCTATTGTCCACTTGGGGGACGCGGGTGCTGCTGTGGGTTAAACCACAGAGCCTAGGGCTTGCCGATCAGAAGGTCGGCGGTTCAAATCCCCGTGACGGGGTGAGCTCCCATTGCTCGGTCCCTGCTCCTTCCAACCTAGCAGTTCGAAAGCACTTCAAAGTGCAAGTAGATAAATAGGTACCGCTCCGGCGGGAAGGTAAATGGCCTTTCCGTGGGCTGCTCTGGTTTGCCAGAAGCGGCTTAGTCATGCTGGCCACATGACCCGGAAGCTGTACGCCGGCTCCCTTGGCCAATAAAGCGAGATGAGCACCGCAACCCCAGAGTCGGCCACGACTGGACCTAATGGTCAGGGGTCCCTTTACCTTTACCTTTCATTGTCCACTTGCAAGCAAGGGAAGATGTCCAGGCGCCAGGATTGCACCTGAGGCGCGTGCCTGGGGATCAATGGATCTGGACTGTTTTCACACCCCAGCAACACATCCTGTAGAATTCCAGCTCTCATATTTTATCTGCACAATCAGAATGAATTTCAGGAACTAAAAAGTCACATTGGAAAATACAACTTTTGAGCTGTCTGGCCCCAAGATGGCAACTCGATATTCCGTTTTGCTAACTGTAACCCTGGTTTAAGGAGCCATTTGGCACTTAGCTTATAGATAGGAGTTTCTAACACAGTCAGCAGTAACAGATCTTGGTGCTCGCCATTTCATCCTTCTCTTAGGTTAGTTGTAACCTATTTCCATAGGGCTGCTCTCTTGATCAATGAGTGAGGCTCCTTTTCTGCAGCCTAACCACCCACACAGAAATCTCTGGTTTTCTGTAGCATTTGAACAGGATATCAAAGCTCTAATAGATTTTGAATCCAGACAGACAGTTTGACAGCAGCTATGCAAAATATTAGTGTCTTAATCAGATGTCACTTTTGTGCAAAAACTCCTTTTGTCCCCCCTGCTTTTGTGCACCTGGTAAATTAGTGGATATTCAGACAAGTTAGTTATATATTCTAGCATTCAACTATGACAGTTCTTTTCCTATAGAATAGGAAAAATAGTTTTTGCATGGTGAGCTAAACATATATCTTCTTCTTTCTGCCAAAAATAAGTAAGCAACAAGATGAGTTGCATCTGTGGGTCTCAAACTACGTGCTAGTTTTGCATCTTGTAAAACCATTTGCAGATAGTTATAGCTATTATGTCTCCGCCCCTTTTATTATGTTGTTGTTTAGTCGTTTAGTCGTGTCTGACTCTTCGTGACCCCATGGACCAGAGCACGCCAGGCACTCCTCTCTTCCACTGCCTCCCCCAGTTTGGTCAAACTCATGCTGGTAGCTTCGAGAACACTGTCCAACCATCTCATCCTCTGTCATCCCCTTCTCCTTGTGTTCTCCATCTTTCCCAACATCAGGGTCTTTTCCAGGGAGTCTTCTCTTCTCATGAGGTGGCCAAAGGATTGGAGCCTCACTTCAGGATCTGTCCTTCCAGGGAGCACTCAGGGCTGATTTCCTTCAGAATGGAGAGGTTGGATCTTCTTGCAGTCCATGGGACTCTCAAGAGTTTCCTCCAGCACCATAGTTCAAAAGCATCAATTCTTCAGCAATCATCTTCTTTAAGGTCCAGCTCTCACTTCCATGCATCGCTACTGGGAAAACCATGGCTTTAACTATATGGACCTTTGTTGGCAAGGTGACGTCTCTACTTCTCAAGATGCTGCCTAGGCCTGTCATTGCCCTTCTCCCAAGAAGCAGGCGTCTTTTAATTTCGTGGCTGCTGTCACCATCTGCAGTGATCATGGAGCCCAAGAAAGTAAAATCTCTGCACATCTAAAGATGCTTAAATAAACGTTTTTCTCATTTTGGGGGAAGGTACTTCAGAAAGAAGAAGAATCCCCCCAAAAGCACAGGTTAAGCTGGCTGCCACCAAAGTCCATATTAATAGGAACCTCAAGGAGGGAAACGTGAATAAACCACTCGCATTCCCCCTTCTCCTGCAGGAAAATAACACCCCTAGTGATGCTTCCCCTTATAAAAGGTTTCCTGGCCCTCTGAAAAGAACCCTTCTATGCTGCATTTTATTTTTATCTATTCCACAATTCTTTCATTACTATTTTATTTTCTGTCTGCTGCTCATAATGTAGTCCCGCCCGCAATTCCTTCAACATATAATATCTCCAGATGTCGAAATCGGGAGTTTATTCTTCCAAATCCAATTCATCCCTTAAACTCTTCTTTGCTGCTATGTTTGCTGTGTCCACGTAGATTTTAAAAATAGTTCTTCTTTTGTTGCTATTCCTTCTCCTGGCTGCTGATCTACGCACATCCAGAGATTAATCCTCTTCTTTAAAACATCCGTTCTTGTTGTTTTTCACGCCGCCGAGCATTGGGGGGTGGGGGGTGAAACTTCCTTAGAGACTTCATAAATGAGAACATTGTCCTTTCCTGAGGCAATTGCACCAGGAACAGCTCAGAGCTGGTGCTTTAAAGGTAAAGGGACCCCTGGCCATTAGGTCCAGTCATGGCCGACTCTGGGGTTGCGGCACTCATCTCGCTTTATTGGCCAAGGGAGCCGGCGTACAGCTTCCGGGTCATGTGGCCAGCATGACTAAGCCGCTTCTGGTGAACCAGAGCAGCGCATGGAAACGCCGTTTACCTTCCCGCCAGAGCGGTACCTATTTATCTACTTGCACTTTGACGTGCTTTCGAACTGCTAGGTTGGCAGGAGCAGGGACCGAGCAACGGGAGCTCACCCCATCGTGGGGATTCGAACCGCCGACTTTCTTATTGGCAAGTCCTAGGCTCTGTGGTTTAACCTTAGGTAAAGATGGAGTTGTTGGCATGAATTAAAAAAAGGGGGGTAGATAAATAATGATAAATATATTTGAATTAAAAATGCCATCCGCCAAGGCAAGCTGTGGATCATCCACCAGTAATATATTCATATGTATGTACCTGTCTCTTTGTTTTGTAATAAGCGCTAACATGTTTTTCTCCTCCCTGCAGCTGATGGCGTTTGTGTGTTTAAATGCTTGGTCAACAAAGATACCGAATATTGCCGTGTGGGAAAAGAATCAATCTTGATATCGCTTGGCTATAACAATGCCTTACTTCAATTCAGGTCCCATTCTGGTAAGTGATTGGTGGCATTCATAGTTCTGTACATGTCTCAAAGTTTCTCCCCCTCTGTACACTTTCACCCCCATAAACCAGTAACTTGGGTGCACTTTCTTATACACTATTTTGCATGCTCCAAGTTCATAAAGGTAAAGGTAAAGGCACCCCTGACCATTAGGTCCAGTCGTGACTGACTCTGGGGTTGCGGCGCTCATCTCGCTTTATTGGCTGAGGGAGCCGGCGTACAGCTTCCGGGTCATGTGGCCAGCAGGAGTAAGCCGCTTCTGGCGAACCAGAGCAGCGCACGGAAACGCCGTTTACCTTCCCGCCGGAGCAGTACCTATTTATCTACTTGCACTTTAACGTGCTTTCAAACTGCTATGTTGGCTGGAGCAGCGACTGAGCAACGGGAGCTCACCTCGTCGCGGGGATTCGAACCATCGACCTTCTGATCGGCAAGTCCTAGGCTCTGTGGTTAAACTCACAGTGCCACCCGCGTCCCTCTGAGTTCATAGAACTATAGAATTGTAGAGTTGGAAGAGACCCTGAGGATCAACCAGTCCAAGATATTGAGGTTTGCAGAAGTACAACTAGAGATGGGAAGGCCTGGGGGGAAAGCAGAAAAATACCCACCCCACCCCCGTTTTCCCCCAAAGCTGTGTGTTTTGGGGAAATTGAAAAAAACACAGCTTGGTATAGTTTTAATATTCCACACACATTTCGTTTGGGGAGAATGGTAAAGGGTAAAGGACCCCTGGATGGTTTAAGTCCAGTCAAAGGCAACTATGGGGTTGCGGGAGCTCATCTCACTTTCAGGCCAGTGTTTGTCCGCAGACAGCTTTCCAGGTCATGTGTCCAGCATGACTAAACCACTTCTGGCGCAGTGGGACACCGTGACAGATCCAGAGCACATGGAAATGCCGTTTACCTTCCCACCACAGTGGTACCTATTTATCTACTTGCACTGGCTTGCTTTTGAACTGCTAGGTTGGCAGGAGCTGGGACTGAGCAATGGGAGCTCACCCCGTCACGGGGATTCGAACTGTCGACCTTTTGATCGGCAAGCCCAAGAGGCTCAGTGGTTTAGACCACAGTGCTATCCGTGTCCTGCAACATCTCACTGTAGGCTTTTCTTGTTTGCCTCTATGTCTGAAATCTTTTGAACATTGGACAGCCTTTGATATCTGCTGCTCCGTGGAGAATTTAACAGAAAGGATGTCATGCTTCTCTGTAATGGTGGCAAATTCCTTCAAAGCTGTTTCAAAGTTTTACACCATCATACTGTGTTGGAACCAAACAACTGGGCAACATTGTTTTGAATATATGTTGCTTTTTAAGAATACCCAAGGGTGTCAGACATTCTCAGACGTCAGGCTATAGAGTATAGGTATCAAGATCAAATGTTTTTCTGACAACTTGAAGATGTTTCAGACAAAACTTGAAATCACAAGAAACATGTGCCTTCTGTCTAAAGCAGCTGCTGTGAGTTTCTTGTGATGTCTATGTGCCCATGTTTTTGAATTTCCAGGCCCCCATTGGACTTAATTGGCTGCCACTTGCATGAATAGGAAGGCTCAAACATGATTTGTTAATTAGTAGATCGATAGCCCTCCTTCTTCTGTCCTGGGACTCAAGGCAGTGGGAAGGAGGGTTCTCAGGGGGTCTCCCATTCTTGCACTGACCGGGCCGGAACCTGCTTAGCTTCAGCAAAGTGGTGCATCAAGTTCTTATGTCCTGGATATTGCAGGGTAGATATTCAGGGTTGCTCTTTTTGGCAGCAGACTTTCCCCAGCAGCCAAAGATGCTGGGGCCCAAGTGCCTTGGACAACAGGGCCTTGGGTGCAGAGCTCCAGTTTAGGCCCCAGTCAGAGATTGGGCTTCAACTGCTTTGCATCTTCGACCCAATTTAAGCTTCTAGTAGCACAAGGCATCTTTGAAGAGCAGGGTCTACAATCTTCTGATTGTTTAGAACAAAGTCTATTTGTAAACTTACCATTGCATATTACTTGAGAGTTATGCCGATTTAGATTTCCAGACCCCCATTTCACCCGTCTTTCTGGTGGCGAATGGATGCCTGCCCTGAATTCATGCAGAGGACAGAGCTCTCCTCATTCCTTCCGTTCCACCATTTAGACAGCTATAAATCCTAGATGGTTGTCTCTGTTTCCCGAAGAACATGTGTGCGGCATCTGAGTTGCATCAAGCAAGCCATAAAATCGGCTGCCAGTGTATCTTGCACATATCGTCTTGTCTTTCCCAAACAATGGCCGTCTATTTAGAGCAGCTCAGCCGAGGAATATTTTGCCCGCCATCTCACAGGGGGTACTTGCTGCCATCTTGAGAGGAGCACAGTTCAGTTGAAAAACAAGAGGATTGGTGTCAACACTGGTTTCAGAAAGACTGGGTTGAATCTTGCAGCACAGATCTCTTGTGTTTATGCTACTGTGTTGTGGGCATTGGGTTGGCGCCAGAGAAATGCCAGCCTGGGCTGTGGCAAGGGTGGCTGAGAGAGCAGAGGAGGATTTCTAGAAAGCAAGTGGATGCATCTTCTATATGCAGGTCCATGCTATTTTTAAGATTCCCCCCCTCCACCACCACACCCCCTTCACCACAGCGCATCTCATTTGGCAGGAGCTGCATGGCTGCTGCACGGGTCGGGTGAGTCAGGCTGCAGAGCGAAGGGGGGGGGCTGATCTTGGTGGATTCCCCAGCTGTTCTAGTGACACATAAATCAATGGCGGTCGCAACTCTGCTTTCCTTAAGAGCACTTCAGCCCAGTGAGCTAACCTGTCTTAAGGGAAGGAACAGGCGGATGAAAGAGCACAGAGTATAATTTGTGGCTTATTCTTTGCACATTGGGACTCGGGTGGCGCTGTGGGTTAAACCACAGAGCCTAGGGCTTGCCGATCAGAAGGTCAGTGGTTCAAATCCCCATAACGGGGTGAGCTCCCGTTGCTCGGTCCCTGTTCCTGCCCACCTAGCAGTTCGAAAGCACATCAAAGTGCAAATAGATAAATAGGTACCACTCCAGCGGGAAGGTAAACGGTGTTTCCTTGCGCTGCTCTGGTTTGCCAGAAGTGGCTTAGTCATCCTGGCCACATGACCCGGAAGCTGTACGCCAGCTCCCTCGGCCAATAAAGCGAGATGAGCGCCGCAACCCAAGAGTCGGCCACGACTGGACCTAATGGTCAGGGGTCACTTTACCTTTTTACCTTTGCACATTTAGTTCAGCAGAATGTTACATTATGTTTTGCAGAGGGTAGAGAGCAGCTCAGTGATCATTCAGTTTCTTTCCTTCCACTGCCTACCATTTCGCATGATGCTGTTTACTTTAATATAAACAGCTGCAGTTTTGCATAGCCAATACCATTTCCCTCCGCCCCAGGTACCCTAGCAAAACCTGCTGTGAATTTGAGTGGCCCGCCTCTCAGGCCTCTGTATTTAATTAAATTCACCGTTTCTGTTTCAGAATATAGCATGTTTTCAAATGTGCTGAAGAACTGCAGGAATTGGAATAAGGAGCACTCCGTGTTCAATCAGAGAACCGAAGAATCCTCTGCAGCTCAATATTTTCAGGTAGAGGTCCATTGCATCACAAACCTAGAAGAGGTAAATTCATTACTTTCCCTGTGTTTCTGCACTTCCTGCTCAGAGCTGGTTTCTGCAGCCATGACTTTGCCCTTCTTGTGTGAAGTGCAGCAGGCAAGGGGGGAAGGGCACAATTTTATATATTTGTTCCTGTTTTTCCTGTTTAGTTTTATGGCTGCTTATCCCAGCAACAGAACATGATGCAGGATTTTGTGAGGACGGCCACATATCACAGAGCAATACTACAGAACCATATAGATTTTAAGGATAAGGTAAGCCCTGGTAAAAGTCTGCCCACCCCAATTCTCTCTCTCTCTCTCTCTCTCTCTCTCTGTGTGTGTGTGTGTGTGTGTACAATATTTTTATTGAATTTTCCATTATAACAGACATTGCAACAAGCCAAAACCACAAAATTACCGAAGAGAAACCAAACAGAAAAGATTACAGAAGGAATACAGTGGTACCTCAGGTTACATACACTTCAGGTTACATACGCTTCAGGTTACAGACTCTGCTAACCCAGAAATAGTGCCTCAGGTTAAGAACTTTGCTTCAGGATGAGAACAGAAATTGTGCCCCATTAGCTAAAGTGGTGCTTCAGGTTAAGAACAGTTTCAGGTTAAGTACGGACCTCCGGAACGAATTAAGTACTTAACCCGAGGTACCACTGTACAGGAAGAAGACAATATTACATGTTAAATAAGCATCCTTAGAAAAGGATAGAAGACAAAATGATTATTGTAAAAAAGGATCGGTTGTATTAGTTGGCCATGTTCTCTGGATATGTGTGTCTTCCTCTTTGTGGCTTAATTCTGGAAGCAAATAATCAGTTATGTTGGCACCCCGATTCTAAATATTTGCACTGGTCCACCTGCCTACAGTCTTGTTCATACTATTGTTATAATTAGAGATGGGAGAGACATTCAGTATAGTTTGCATCTAAATGTGAGCCTTCCTAATTTGTAGTTCCCGGTACAATACACAAACCAAAACTCAGACCTCTTTTATTTTTCATTTATGTATTACATTTATGGACCACCTTTATCTTCCAAGGAGCTCAAAGTGGTGTACGTGGTTCTCCTCCTCCCCAGTTCACCCTCACAATAACCCTGTGAGGCGGATTAGGCTAAGAGATGGTGACTGACTCCAAGGTCACCCAGTGACTTTTGCAGCTAAGTGGGGATTCGAACCCTGCTCTCTCCTAGTCCCTAGTCCCACACTCTAACCATTACGCCATTTCCCCCAATTCTGCAGTGCAGTTTGCCAGGCAAATAATACGCACAGAAATGCATATACTGCCGTAAAGTGTCCATTAGTGGAGAATAACATACATAAATGCATTATATTCTTGAAAATTGCCTTGCAAAAATGTATATAGGAGGCAAAATTTCTTACAAAGAAGAAATTCACTGTGAAATGCTTGTGAATTTTCACTCCTTTTAAAAATTGCAAGCTATGTGGAATTGTGGAGAAGTGAACTTTAGATTGGAAAATGAGAAACGTAGGAAAACTGAAATGGACAGATTTTGCCTATCCCTACTTATAATTCATGGGACATGGGTGGCGCTGTGGGTTAAACCACAGAGCCTAGGACTTGCCGATCAGAAGGTCGGCGGTTCGAATCCCTGCAACGGGGTGAGTTCCCATTGCTCGGTCCCTGCTCCTGCCAACCTAGCAGTTCGAAAACACGTCAAAGTGCAAGTAGATAAATAGGTACCGCTCCGGTGGGAAGGTAAACGGAAGCTGTACGCCAGCTCCCTTGGCCAATAAAGCGAGATGAGCGCCACAACCCCAGAGTTGGCCATGACTGGACCTAATGGTCAGGGGTCCCTTTACCTTTACTTATAATTCAGGCATACGTTTGAACCAGGTGCCATTCAGTGAGCACAGGATCTGCTCTGACCGCCAGGAGCTCCTGAGGATCTCAGGCTCAGATCTCTTCCAGCCTGAAGCTGCTTCAGATATTTTTCACAAGAAACAGGCATCTTCTTCTGTGTGCAAAGCGTGTCTTCTGCCCCCCGGCTACAGCCCCTTCCTTTCTCAAGGGCTGCCCTAGGAGACATGCCCAACACAGAAAGGGATGGATCCTGGATCTCTGTGAGCCCCACAGCCTCCCGTCAGGGGCCAGAAAGCGGCTCTCCTCACCTCTTCCCCAAGTCAATAGACGGGAAGCAGGCGCCCCGGAAACAATAGCTGACAGCTGCGTCAGACATCCAGCTTCCAAAAAACGTTCAAAGTGTTCAAAAACCGGAACACTTGCAGGTTTTCGGCGTTTGGGAACTAAGGTACCACTGTAACAAAATTGGAGTGATTATAGTTGGAGCTGCGGAAATGCAACAGGATTATTTTCATTAGACTAGACTCATTTTTATCAAAAGTACACTTTAAGACTGGCATGTGGTACATGGTTTCCACGGTAACATTAATTTTCTGGCACATGAGGAGAAATTAGTCCTTTATTGCTTCGGGTTTCTCATTTGGTCTTGAACCAACCTAATGACTCGCTTTTTAAGGCCATTAACTCAGCCCTGCTGTCAACTTTTATGAGGAACCAAACACATCCCAACACACACACACCCCAAACATAGTCAGTTGTATTCTCTCTCCCCCGCCCCCCCCCCATGGTACGGCTATGTATTTCCCCAGAACAAGAGTCTTGGTGATTTACCACTTTACAAATTTTATTGCTCTTTCGTAAGGAGGTGCAAACAATTAAGTGGGATTCTGAGATGCTGGCAGAAATTTTGCAGCAGTCACTTGAAGCTTATAATGTGGGTTTATTACATAAGTTAGATCCATTTAATGACTAAAAGGTGACCAGTTTCGCTTTTAGCGGTTTTCAGAATTAAGCAATTTTCTGTTTAAATTTAATTTACCATGTTTGTATCAGAACAAGCATATATATATTTTTTAATGGAAAGGTGTACTTTGATACTGTTGGGTTTTGTTGTAAAACCTGATTGTGCACATCACAACCAGAAGTACACTTCCTCTTCAAAGAAAATGGATGCTTGGCTTAAAGAAATACTATATAGTATTGTAAAAATATATACTATTATAGCTTTTTTGTGGATACCAGAAGGTTTTTCCCCAGGCTGTGGCCCATATAGCAAGGAAAGAATACCTTGGGATCCCTTCTAGAGTGGAAAATCTTCATTATGGAAAGCATTTATCTCTTGTGCCCTCCAGTATACTCCTTTAAATCTTTCTTCAGGTGAACAGATCTGGCCACCTAAGCCAGTTTATCTGCTTTTCCCTGATTCTGCACCATTCAAGAATCTAATAGGCTCAGCTGAGTGTGTTTTATATTTAGTGAATGCAATAAATTTAAATCTTGGATCACAAACAGAGATTATTTCTCCCCTTCTTTTCTTTCAAGGTGATCCTAGATGTTGGCTGTGGGTCAGGAATCCTTTCGTTTTTTGCTGTGCAGGCTGGAGCGAGAAAAGTCTATGCAGTGGAAGCCAGCTCTGTGGCCAAATATGCTGAGGTGAGCACATTGGATTGGGTCCCACGGCTGAATGAGTTTGGCACGCTTTGCTGTGCGCAAGAGAAACAAGATCTGCATCGGTGTGCTGCAAATTGAGGAGGGCCAGCAGTTTGAGTTGCTGTTGCCCATTGCTTCTGTGCAATCCTTATTACTCCGCTTTGTTTCAGGGTGGAGCCTAGACTTGCTTTCACTGCAGGACCTCTGTTACCAGGGGAGGGCAATTCTCTCCCTCCCTCAAGGTCTTTAAGCAGAGGTTAGGCAGCAGAGGTTAGGGACGCAGGTGGCGCTGTGGGTTAAACCACAGAGCCTAGGACTTGCCGATCAGAAGGTCGGTGGTTCGAATCCCCGCGACGGGGTGAGCTCCCACTGCTCAGTCCCTGCTCCTGCCAACCTAGCAGTTCGAAAGCACATCAAAGTGCAAGTAGATAAATAGGTACCGCTCCGGCGGGAAGGTAAACGGTGTTTCCGTGCGCTGCTCTGGTTCACCAGAAGCAGCTTAGTCATGCTGGCCACATGACCCGGAAGCTGTCTGCGGACAAACGCCGGATCCCTTGGCCAATAAAGCGAGATGAGCGCCACAACCCCAGAGTCGGTCACGACTGGACCTAAAGGTCAGGGGTCCCTTTACGTTTACTTTACCCATTACATGACTATGATATCTTTGCTGTACCTGAAAACCAGTGAAAGCATTACTGTCTGAAGCACCGATATTGGAGGCTACAACCAGGCAGCTGCCTCTCCTGGTCCTTGATGGACTTAATAACATCAACCAGGAATGAGTAACATGTCCCCCAGTTGGGGGGCTCCTGGGACATCCCCAACAACTTTCTTCGGGAAACGAATGATGTCCTTATTGCCAGTTTTGTAGACCAGCCCAGTAGGGACAAATCAGTAGATTGAAAAGTTACACAAATCTGGAGTTTAGGAATGGGAAGAACTGAAATCTGCACGTAGTGGTTACTACCTTTCCCTTTTTTAAAAAAGCTATATATAGATGCCATTCAATTAAATGGCTCTGCCGCTTATCCAAAACTCTGGATATCTTAATATATTGGCTGTTCCCGAAGTCATATGGACTGTAACAGAATGCAAAAATAATTTGGATTAGATTTAAAATGATGTGCTGTGTTGTCATGTCACAGACATCATTTGGTTGAACATTGAAAATTATAAATGACCAGCTGGTTTTTTCAGTTCATTGTGCCAAGTTTTCCCCCGCACGACTCCCTAATTTAGACTTACAGTTGAAATGCTGCGATCCTAAGCTCAGTTGGAAATGTGCTCTACTGAAACAAATGAGGTGTTTCAGACAAACGTGTTTAGGGCTGAGATTTCAGCTACTTGTGTAAAGATTAAGTAAGAATTTTGTGTCGAGCTGAAGGGAGATTATGGCGAGCACTTGAACAAACAGGACATGGGAGCAGCTATGCATGAGGAACAGTTGTCTATGGGGAAGAGGTCAACTTGCGCTGGGGATCATTAGAAATAAAAAATTGGCCCTTGAGGAATACAGAGGCTGTTAGGAATACAGAGGAATATCTGAGGCTGTTGGAGGGGGGTGGGATCTATATAGGAGCCTTTATTTTCCAAAGAGGCCCAAAGACAAGAAGTGATCGTTCTTATAGATGCTAATGTCATTGTGGATGAGGGCTGAGGATGAGGGTTTCTACTGAACAAAAGGTGAAATTTGGAAAGAGAAAAGGGAATTAAGTTGCTAGTTTTGTTCTGTTAAGCCGCTTTTTCAGAGTAGTCTTCTTGATTTAATATATTTCATCTCCCTTCCTTCACCACATTGACCTGGTTTACGTGATCGAATCCTGTCTTAATAAGACAATGCCTGTGTACGCAAACTAAGTCCCCACCCACAGCTCCTTTGCTCTTTCCTTCCATGTGTTGAGGAAACAAACCAGAAAGCCACAGTTAAACCACAGCTTCCTGTTGTGTGCAAATGAGGAGCTATGGCTTATGGCTTCTACACAACCCAGGATTCCTAAGCCAATTTGAAAGCCAGTTTCATATCCTGGCATAGCTGGAAACTATTAACCATAGTTTTCTGGTTCACACATCATGGGAAACTCAGGTACAGTGGTACCTCAGGTTACATACGCTTCTGGTTACATATACACTTCAGGTTACAGACTCTGCTAACCCAGAAATGGTGCTTCAGGATAAGAACTTTGCTTTAGAATGAGAACAGAAATCACAGCGGCAGCGGGAGGCCCCATTAGCTAAAGAGGTGCTTCAAGTTAAGAACAGTTTCAGGTTAAGAACGGACCTCCGGAACGAATTAAGTACTTAACTCGAGGTACCACTGCACTTCCTAGTCACCCCCATCTGCCCACAGATTATAGGAGCTCCCAGAAGAGTCTCTGAAGATGACTTTAGGACACGGACATATTTGTTCAAGAGATGGCGCTCTTTCAGGTAGCTAAGGACCACTCCATCAGAGATTGTGCAGTGCAATGTGCTGCATCCAATCAATGCCCTTTTATAGTTGCTCTGCATTTTATTTCCATTGAACAAAAGTGAAAATGATTGAGGTTCACTGCTCTGGACAATCACAATTACTAGAAGCTCACAAGATCAGGTGGTAGACGCCGTTCTCGGCATGGGCCAACTCCTTCAACACCAGTTGGAAAAGATTGAGATTTGTTTGTAAGTCCACTAAAATTGCCAGTTCTGTACACCAGAAACAGTCCACACTGGGCTACATCCCAAGAGAAAGAGGAGGGGAGGAGGGTCACATAACGCCGTAGTCCTTGGGTGGCCCATCTGGCAGTCATAGGATTAGCGGTTCCAAGTGCATCGTCATGCCAGATAAAATAACCAATTTCTAGCTGCTTTATGAAGCACTACAAAAAGCAATATTTTCCCAGCCTCTGCATTTCAACATCTGGTGAAATTTTCTAGTTTGTTTCCCTCATCCCAAGCAAATTCTTAAAAAGTCTGTGGCCTTGTTTCAGCAAGTGACTCGGCTGCAATCATAATCCTTAAAATCTTGAGCCTTTTAAACTGAAATGCGTTGAATTTTGCCTGCTTAAGGTCAGGCATGTGATCAAACTGCTTCAGTGCTATTTTGTTGGAGTACAGTGCTTCTCTACCTTGTTTTGCCTGTCAGTAAAATAGATACTGCTCTGGAAATTCTGGTTAAGGGCAGGTAAGAAATAATAAGAATAAAAATAATAATAGGTAGTGGTTTGTTTGTTTTTTATATTAATCAGTCACTTATTACCCCAGTCTTCTAGCCAATGTACAATGTAAAATGTACAACAAAAATGGAAACACAAATAAAACAACAAATGATCAAAACAAATATACTACAACATCAACCACAGAGCCTAGGACTTGCTGATCAGAAGGTCGGCGGTTCGAATCCCCGCAACGGGGTGAGCTCCCGTTGCTCGGTCCCTGCTCCTGCCAACCTAGCAGTTCGAAAGCACGTCAAAGTGCAAGTAGATAAATAGGTACCACTCTGGCGGGAAGGTAAACGGTGTTTCCGTGCACTGCTCTGGTTCTCCAGAAGCGGCTTAGTCATGCTGGCCACATGACCTGGAAGCTGTACGCCGGCTCCCTCGGCCAATAAAGCGAGGTGAGCGCCGCAACCCCAGAGTCGGTCACGACTGGACCTAATGGTCATGGGTCCCTTTGCCTTTATATACAGGGTGCTTACATTCTGTATGGACTGGTTGCATGGCAACGTGTGCAAGTGGCTTGAGATACCATAAATGACCATATAGCATATATTCAACTCAAAAAAGCAACATTTTGTTGTTGACAAAGGACAGCTTTAGAAAGGGCCCCATTACCTTCAGGAGCTGAGGGCCTCATCAAACCTCAATACGGCCCTGCACCTGGCCGTCTTCACTTGACCTCCAGGGGCTCATAGGTGCAAAATGCGCCTGGCTAATTTCAAACGCTGGGAGATCTGGGGAGAGGTGTCATCAGTACACAGATGATACTAGCGCTGCTTCTCTGTTAACATTCCATTGATCACAGCATTCTGCAGGTGAGAGGCTTCTGCAAGTGCCATCATGTCTAGATGTCCTTTCTTCAGGGTCTTCAGTACTGTAGCACCTGCCTTTTGAAATTCCTCTTCTTGAATATTTGACAGGGGCCGCCTATTGTCTTTTGGAGGCCTCCGGAAGACCTTCCTCCTTCAACCAGCCTTTTAGGTTGAGATCCTTCCCAATCCACATCTGCATTGGAATTGTTTTTATTGCCTTATCGCTTGTTTGCCATCCTGAGCTCCTTTGGGTGGGATAATAATAATAATAATTTATTATTTATACCCTGCCCACCTGGCTGGGTTTCCCCAGCCACTCTGGGCTGTAAATCAAATGAAGAACTATTTAATAAATACATATTATTTATAGATGAAAGAAGCTAATGCAGTTTGGTTGTGTGTGTTTTTTATGCCTCCTCGTTACAGATTCTGGTACAAAGTAACAACCTCTCTGATAAGATCAGCGTTTTGACGGGGAAAATTGAGGAAATCTCCTTGCCTGAGAATGTTGACGTCATTGTTTCTGAGCCAATGGGTTATATGCTGTTCAATGAGAGAATGCTGGAAAGTTACCTCCACGCCAAGAAGTGGTTGAAGTCAAATGGTGAGTCTGTGTTCCACAGGAACGAACAGGAGGAAATAAGAATTTACCAACTTGGATCAGAGTAGTGGTGATTTCGTAGGGGCTTTGGGATACAACCCCCCACCACTGTCAGAGCTCATGTTAGCATCTTTCTGGCATATTTAATATTCCTGATTGCTTCTCGATTCATGCCTTATATCCTCCACAATAAGCTCAGCGCAATAATCCGCAGATAAGACCATGCATCACCAAGGAGTTCAGTTTCCACTTTTGTCTCCAAATACAGTCTTGGGACTCCCTGCTAGAGAGAATCTCTGACCCAAGTCCGTTAAGAGAAAGCTGAATTAATATTAGAAGCAAGGCTCTCACTCTGCAACTTTCAAGATGATTTCATTCCAAAACAACTTTTGTCCTGGAGAGCATCTGGACTAGGGAAATGACAGGATGGGGAAAATTTACAGCCCATTTAAATTAAAAGGCGGTGGGGGGGGCTTCTCTACAGAGCACCTGTTTAGAATGCTTTGTAGAGAACGTCTGGACAATTATGTCTGGATTTTGCAAAAACGAAACTAGCATAAACTAAGAGGGAGTTGGGTGCAGCATGGAACAGGAAAGTCTGGCAAGATGTTTGACTTTATGCCAAGTCTTCCTCGGGATGCAGCAAATATCTCTCTTAGCCTAAATGTTCAGATTCTTTGTCCTCCTCCGGTGGTACACTTTGCTGCTTTAAAAATTAGTGTTTCTTATTGTAATAGATGTTTAGTTCTCAATCTCTGTGCTTCTGATTCAAATCCTGCTTTAATGGCAATGCCGTTTGTACTAAGGTTAAGTCTTTTTTGTTCATGATATAAATGCAATGGTCCCCTTGGTTAATGATTTCTGTTTATAAAGCCTTTTAAATCTATGCACTGCAGTGGCGTAGCGTGGGGGTGTAGGGGGGGGCCGGCCGCACCGGGCGCAACATCTGGGGGGGGCGCGCTCGCACTCGCAGCTCTCTGCCCCTAGTGGAAGAGACTCGAGTGCTAAAATCCACAGGTTAGGGGGCGCAAATTACTTGCCTTGCCCCGGGTGCTGGCAACCCACGCTACGCCACTGATGCACTGTGAGATTGCTATCATGAAACAATTTACTCTAAATGAATGCTGAATTCAGTGACTACTTGGGAGTAAAGAGTTTTAGGATTTCAGTCTGTAATCTCTACATTCTTTACAATGGCATTGCCTTATGACAATGCAACTCCCCATCTCAAACTGTGTTTGCAGAAATGGAACAATTTTCCTCCTAGCTAACATTGTATTATTTGTTAAGTAGAAGTATAATTTCCTATACATTTTCCTGCATCTCCTTCATAGGCTAGTTCATTTCTGCATTGCCAGGTGCACTGGTTTTAACCAATTCACTTATAAAAATGTGTTATCCGGACTTATTTCCATAGTTGTTGGGTAGGTTAAGACCTTATTTAATGGAGGTATGGATGACCGATTCCTTGTCCTTCTCTGTTTGCAGTACAAGTCTGTAATGTGCTCATGCTTGTGTGTTTTGCATTAGATAGTCTGTGAAATGGGCATAAGGTTTGTAAAATGTTTTGCAGTCTTTTGATAAACACACAGCATCATTACCAGTTCCTTTATATTGTCAGCCTTGAGTTTAGTGAACTTCTGAAACTGTTGGTGGTTTGTTTAGTGGCAATGTATTAACAACTATACGTTGAGTCTGTAGATAGTTGTTCAGAAATATTATCCTTTTCCTCCAGCTGTAGAAGATGAATGAGGATATAATATTGCCTTTGATTTTAAGGAAGAAATTATTTAAATAGCTAATCACAAATGAGTTAAAAACTGCAAGGTTTTATCACTCATGGCAGCATATTTGACTTGCCGCCTTAAGTTCTTTATTGTTGCTAATGGGCTTACTGAAATGTGATCAAGAATTAGAGCATAAATTATTATCCACTCCGGAATTATAAAGAGATAAACTGTTTGAGATGGAGAGTGGATGATGTTTACTGGATGTTTCCAACAAATGTTTAAGTAGGGCTACACAGAAGATTTGAACTTTGCTACTGTATATTATCTTTTGTTCACTAGGAATGATGTTTCCAACATTTAGTGACATTCATTTGGCTCCTTTTTCCGATGAACAGCTCTACATGGAACACTACTCCAGAGCCAATTTTTGGTAATGATTATTTCACTTTTTTCCAAAAAAAAAAAAAAAAGGAAAGGAAAAGAAAATGTCTTTTGCTCTGCAGCATAACAGAGGTCTCAAAATGAAACTGCTTCTTGGAATCACAGTGCAGTGGTGAACTGTATCTGTCAAAAGAAACTTCCTAATTTCCTAACCCATTTCTGTTTTGTTGAACTGCAACTGTGGCACTTACAGCTGATTCGTGTGGCCATGTTGTTTGTGCATTGATAACTGTTCTCATGTAGTGGCTTGGCACTTTGAAGCATTTGTCATGTGGTGGCTCTTCACTTGATGGCTTTTTTCATTACGAGGCAGAGGCAGGACCTGTCTAGGAAAGAGATGAGATTATTTTATGATTATGATGAGATTATCTCCGTAAATATAGCCTACAACAGGAGACACAGTACTATGCAGTCCTGCTCCAAGCAGAGAGATAGATGTGATGAGAGAACTCTTTGTCCTGCATTCAAGGGGTGGCAAGAGGGCCATGGCATCAGGATGATGCAGCCGTCGATGGGCAAGGATGCTCCCATCAAGCAAAAAAGAATCTCAGAATTGGCCAAGGCAGTGTTGGGATTAGAGTTACCATCTTGTGGTGTCCAGAATGCCTTAGGCTTCATGTTACTTGTATGTCAGTCACATGCAGCAACGCTGATTTCTGAGATTGAAAAGGGTTCTGGGGCTGCGATCAGAAGGTCTTGGGGTTGTATCCTGGCTCAAATTGAGGACTGGGTGGATGTGGCCGCATCGCTTACGTAGTCACAGAACTAAGTGTGCCTTGCTCATGTTCTCACGATGACCCTTCTCTCTTCCGTGGCACTGCCTTTTGGATTTGTATTAGGGGATACCTGAGAATTAAGTCACGGTACCAATCACAACATGATCTGAGATTTGCATAGCTGTCAACCGTCCCTTATTTGGCGGGAAACTCCCTTATCCCAGCACCGTGTCCCGCTGCTGTCCCTTATTGATGATGTCCCTTAAATTTCCTGGGTTTCATGCTCGCCCAGCTCAGGAGGGAAGCAGCAGCTCAGGGTCCTCCGCCACGTGAGAGAGTGCGTGCGCATGAGCTGCCGCGTCTCCGTCTCTCCCTTTTCCCCCTCAGGGGCGCGTCGTGAGGAGACGGGTGGCGGTGGGTGGGCAGGCGGCCCCTCACTTGCAAGACTTCCACTGCACTGCCGGGGAAGCTGGAGGCGGCCTGGGGGAGGAGGAAGAGGAGGGGATGGGGATGGGGAGGGATGCAGAAGGGCGGCGCTTCAGCGGCCGCGGCAGCACCGCAACCACCTCATGCCAGGCTCGCGGGCAGCGTGGGTGAGAGTCTCTCTCCCTCCCCACCCCTTGGGCGGGGAAGGGCTGATGGAACTCCTCGCGCCAGGACAATGGCAGCCCCAATGTGCTGCTTAGCATCCCCTCCAACCAGTGCAGCATCTTAATGTAGTGATTTCCCCCTCTGCATACCTTTCATAACTCTATTTTTATAAATCATTTGTCCATCCATAGTTCAAATTTTTACTACAAGTATGTACCTACCAATGTATGTAACTCTTTACAATAGCTTTCAACTAAATTATAAACTTTCCCCATTCTTTATTAAAGAGGTCCACTTCCTGGTTTCTAATTCTGCCGGTAAGCTTTGCCATCTTGACATCGTTCATCAGTTTTGTCTGCCCCTCTTCTTTGGTGGGAGTTGTAGACCCTTAGGATCTGCTAGTCCAACCCCCTGCAAAACACAGTCAGTGGCAGCAAAAGCAGCATGGATCCATCAGTGTCAAATTTCTGTATAAGCTAAGCAAAATCCCTTATTTTGGCTGCTGATCCCTTATTTTCGAGGCTGCTGGTCCCTTATTTTCAAATCTGTAAGTTGACAGCTATGGAGATTTGAACTAATCTTTCCTCCCCTTTCCCATACCATAAGATCTAATTTAACTCTGTGTGCCATCACACTGTACATTGCTCCTCTTTCCCAACCTACCGTATTATGTAACATGGGGGGGGGGAGGCAGGAGTTTGAGGCAACATGCTATGCAGTAGCATCTTCTAAAATGTTGTTTTAAATCAGACATTACAAGGGGGCTGTAGGGAAGATGCACAGTGGCGAGAGTTTCATATCGCTTGTGAAATCTAGTTACAATGCAATAGGAATATCCTCTGTGACCTCCGTATACATTGGTTGCCCACTTTCTGCTTTGCAATTTCCCATTTCTTGCACTTTTCCTTGCAATGGAAAACACAGCAGGCTAATGCAGATGGAACCAAAAGCTGCTGTAGAATGAATTGAGCCACTGTTTATTATTAGATCATGCAGATTTTTCTTCCATTTCTACCTGAGGATCTGGTTGAATTGTTCAGATTTGAGTTTGCACCATCAGAAGAGAGGTTGTGATTTATGAAATGCTAATCCAAGGGGTTTTGAAATCCGGCTTGTGTGGTGAGGAACCTATGGCCCTCCAGATATTGTTGGACCACCCTTCCTGCCAGCCCCAGCCAGCTTGGCCAATGGCCAGGGGTCATGGAAACTGTAATCCAACAACATCTGGGAGACGCTGTGGTTATCCTACATGGAGACGATGATTTGTCATTCCTGCTTTGAACCATTCATTCTTAACTAATACATTGAACTGGAACTAGAATATTCTATTTTATGCAAAAAGTAAAGGTAGTCATGGGACGCGGGTGGCGCTGTGGGTTAAACCACAGAGCCTAGGACTTGCTGATCAGAAGGTTGGCGGTTCAAATCCCCATGACAGGGTGAGCTCCCGTTTTCCCTGCTCCTGCCAACCTAGCAGTTCAAAAGCACATCAAAGTGCAAGTAGATAAATAGGTACCGCTCCGGTGGGAAGGTAAACGGCATTTCCGTGCGCTGCTCTGGTTTGCCGGAAGCGGCTTAGTCATGCTGGCCACATGACCCGGAAGCTGTATGCCGGCTCCCTCGGCCAATAAAGTGAGATGAGCGCTGCAACCCCAGAGTCGGCCATGACTGGACCTAATGGTCAGGGGTCCCTTTACCTAAAGGTAGTCATGCTGGTCCATAAGAAACAATCCAAATCCCATATGAGGACAGTATCTGTTGGGCCAACAAAATGTCACAAAAAAGAAAAAGAACCAAGGGGGGAGAAGAGGAAAGAAGAAATACAGGTGGTCAAACACATGTTTCTCCTTCTCAAGAAGCCTTGACACAGCAGCCTCTCACCTGCATAGCATCTAAAGGAGCCTCATTTTGAATGTCTGTTACCTCCTCTTGGCAGACTCTGATGGGTTGCCCATCATCCATTCTTTCCCCTCTCTTCTGGCCCCTTGTGTGTGTGAGAGATTTTTTTTTTAACATGTAGCCTGATGAAGATTTCTGGAGAACTTGAAATCTTTCACACTGTTTTGTGGCATTTTGGTTGACCTATAAAGTGCTACTTTAATTTGGATTTGGGGATTGTGTTTTATGTTCATTCAAACTGACCTTTGCTTCTGGATGCATCCAAGTGGCAGACTATGACATGTGCAGGCAAGCTCCAGAGATGACTCCTGCTGTGTGCATGTTGCTTATCTTTGGTGGTCATCTTGTGGAAGGAGGAAGCCATTGGCACTTAGCATTTGCATCGGCCTTGGGTGCCAATTGCTGTGTTCACTGGCAGAAGAGGACACAAACTGCTGGAGGATGTGTTGTTTGTGGAATTGAACCTGCATCTGTTGGTTTCAGCATCACCATGTGGCTGCACCTTCATAGACCCAACTTAGACTTATTTATACTCAAAGCTTGTTTTCTGCACTGGTGGGTTTGCAAAACTTGTCTTCCGTATGAGCTGTTTTTCTCCATCTTTGTCATTCTTTCTATTTCCAGTTCCTGTAATAACAAAGATAAGCTGAAATGGAATGGTGCCAGCCCACCATTTTGTCGTTTTGTGTGTGCACCGTTTCTGTGTCCCAGCAAGCCAAATAAGCAACTCAGATATTTGTTGCATAGGGATAGTTCATGCTTCGTAATCCTAATGAGCAGTCTGAGGCAGAAGCACAACAGTTTCATTGTAAGCTTTGGCAGGTTAGAAGCCTCTCTGGTAGTATCAACGCATTGTGCCGTCTTGTGGCCTTTGGGTCTTCAGCTGGAGAAAATGTGAGACTTGGATTTCACAGGATTTTTTAAACAAGTAAAGATTTTGTAAGAAAGTGAGAGAGACTTCGCCATTGGTTTTGCCTGCGTTTTGCGTATGTTCTTAACATTTATAAAGTGGTACCTCAGGTTACATACGCTTCAGGTTACAGTCTCCGCTAACCCAGAAATAGCGCTTCAGGTTAAGAACTTTGCTTCAGGATGAGAACAGAAATCGTGCTCCGGCAGCGTGGCAGCAGCAGGAGGCCCCATTAGCTAAAGTGGTGCTTCAGGTTAAGAACAGTTTCAGGTTAAGTACGGACCTCCGGAATGAATTAAGTACTTAACCTGAGGTACCACTGTATTATTATTATTATTATTATTTGTGCAATCTATATACTGCCCTTTAACCAAGGATCCCAGGGCGGTGTACAACATTAAAAACATAATTTACATGGCACAACAACAACAATAACAACAACAACAGAGCAATCACAGAAAATTTCATGATCACAATCCTTCCACGTTTAAAATGACACAGACTGTTTAATAGCCAAAGGCCTGAGTAAAGAGGAATTTTCCACGTGGCACCTAAAGACATGGCGAGAGCATTCCACAAACAGGGAGCCACCACAGAAAAGGTCTGTTCTTGGGTTGCCGTCCTCTCAGGGAGGGGGGGGACACTGAGAAGGGTCTCTGGTGAAAAGCGCCGGGTCTGGGTCGCTTTGCATGCAGTTGATAAGCAACCAGCAGCACAAGCACCTTGCCCCAAAAGGGAGATTGGCAATGGTTGGTACTTGCATAGGTTCTCAGAATACTGTCTAGGGGGGTGTTTCCTAAGGAGTGGTCTTATCGCTACCCCCTTCAAACAGGTAGGAAGCTCCCCCTCTTGTAAAAGGGCATTGACCACTGTTAGGGTTCCAAGGGGTTGCTCGAGAGCAAGCAGGCAAATGCCTCCCTGCTGGCTGTGAAGCCTTGCTTTTGATGCCAAAATAAACTTGATCTGTCCAGAGTGCCACTCTCCTGTGGCTGGCTCTTTCACTGGCAGAATCTGAGAGTGGGCGGTCCTTAAACCTTCCCCAGCAGAGTAGTTTCTTGACGCCCAGTCTGCGCCTCCCCTCTCGGCACGAAAGCTTACTGTGCAAGGAGGGCGTGGGTAAAGGAGGACCTCTCTCCTCCCCGCTTTGCCCAGGCAAGGTGTCCTGGAACCGCCTCACCTCCTCCGAGCCCTGAAGCTCCTCTCCAATGGAGGCATGGTTACTCTCCTCCGCTGAGGAGGAGCTGCTTCCCACGATCTTTGGGGGCTCTCTGTAATCCATCCGGCTTTTCCCCTCTCGCCCCTGAGCCGATGGTAGTTCCCTGACAACCACCTCCTTTGCCCAGGCAGACGTCGTCTCTCTGCTGAATTTTATCCGCCAAGAGGGGCAAGGGTCCATTGCGTGACCTTCCAAGACCCCTGGCTTAACCCGCCTTCCATTGCTCAGCAGCCTTTCAGTCAGGGCTCCAATTTCAGAGCTGCCGGCCACTTCTGCCGGCCACAGTTTGCTTCGAAACATGAGCTTTACATCTGGATGACACTTGCGCCTGAGAAAAGTGTGTTTGCTGTTGTGTTGCTTACGGCTGATGAATGCACGTAAATTTCAAGTTCTTCCTCTCGGTCGTCAGTTCCTGGTTGAAGTTAGTTGGGCCTCAAAAACTGGTCCCTCTCAGAGCCTTGGGAAATAGTTGTATGATAGCGACAATGGAGGGGAGTTCTGTGGTCTGTTGGGTTTCTTCAGCTGTGTGTGCTGCCCTCACTTGGGGCTTTAGTTTTTCAAAGCCTTCCAGTACATTGAAACTTGAAAGAGGCGCCAACGGAGGGCTCTTCCTTGGGAGAATTGAGCAGCAATATCTCACCGTTGTTTGCTGAGCTCATTAATCCAGTGCACAATGAATAACCCACACGCTGCATGCTATTTGAAGAGGTTAGCTGAATGGAAAGACAGTATCTTTGCATATCAAAAAATAGGCTTTGATCAGGCTTCCTAGGTGGTTTGAAGAATGTGCATGGATCTGTGGCTGTTACATGCAGCTTATAGAGATTTCTTTGTACAATTTTCTTTTCTTTACAACTGCATTATTTCTTCTAGGTACCAGCAGTGTTTTTATGGAGTCAATCTGTCCAGTCTCCGCAATGCAGCTGTAGATGAATACTTTAGGCAACCTATTGTAGTAAGTTGTTTTTTATTTTCTCGCTTTTTCCTTTGCCTTCCTCCTCCACCTTCAGGAGCTTGGGGGCTGGGGGGGTCCCTAAGTTGCAGAACTGCCTCCCCACGGAGGTATATCTGGCCCCTTCATTACATAGCATCTGGTGAATGTGGAAGGGACACCTCTTTACCCAGGCTTTTCACACTAGGGGCGTATATTTGTAGAACCCAGCTTACTTCTGTAATTGTAAGTTGTTTTAAACTGTTTGTGTGTTGTAATGTTGGATTATACTCTGCCCTGGGACCTGGGGTGACACATGGGTTAATGTTAATAATAATAATAATAATAATAATAATAATAATAATAATAATAATTATTATTTATACATACATACATACATACATACATACATACCCTGCCCATCTGGCTGGGTTTCCCCAGCCACTCTGGGTGGCTTCCAACAGGAGATTAAAAATACATTAAAACACCAGTCATTAAAAACTTCCCTAGACAGGGCTGCCTTCAGATATCTTCTAAACGTCAGATAGTTTATTTCTTTGACATCTGATGGGAGGGCGTTCCACAAGGCAGGTGCCACCACTGAGGAGGCCCTCTGCCTGGTTCCCTGTAACTTGGCTTCTCGCAGTGAGGGAACCGCCAGAAGGCCCTCAGTGCTGGACCTCAGTGTCCGGGCAGAATGATGGGGGTGGAGATGCTCCTTCGGGTCTACTGGGCCAAGGCCGTTTAGGGCTTTCAAGGTCAGCACCAACACTTTGAATGGTGCTCGGAAACGTACTGGGAGCCAATGAAGGTCTTTCAAGAGTCAAGGAGCTGTCAGGTGAGCCCAGGTTGACCACAGGGCAAGAAAGACTGTGAGGCACGGAAGGCAATTAGCTTTTTCTTAACAGAAAATACCAGTGCAGCAGAGTTACTTAGGCTCAACTCGTTCAGCTTGAGGTATGGCTGAAATGGACCACTGCCCCCCTCCCCTTCCAGTTGATCTTACTCCAGATCCCTCCCCAGCAGACAAAGGCTGCGTTGAAGGGCGAGCTCCTCCTCTGGGCTTGTCTTGCCCGCTGTTCAGCAACGTGCAGGACTTTCCTCGACTGGGACTGTTCTGCTGCAGGATAGCAGGGCAACCTCTGGCTCCTCTCCGCCTGAGTCTGCGCTCACACTGTGACTCTCAACCTCTAGCCCTGTCCTGGAAGGATCTCCCTCTCTTGTCACCCGTTATCTAGCACCTCCCCGAGAGCCAGTGTGGTGTAGTGGTTAAGAGTGATAGACTCGTAATCTCGTGAACCGGGTTCTCTTCCCCGCTCCTCCACATGCAGCTGCTGGGTGACCTTGGGCCAGTCACACTTCCCTGAAGTCTCTCAGCCCCACTCACCTCACAGAGTGTTTGTTGTGGGGGAGGAAGGGAAAGGAGAATGTTAGCCACTTTGAGACTCCTTAGGGTAGTGATAAAGCGGGATACCAAATCCAAAGTCTTCTTCTTATTCTTCTCCCTTCCCCAGACTGCTCTTCAGTGTCCCACCACTAAGTCGTCTTCTTCTGTGTCCTCCCTGGGGGGCTCTTCCCTTAAGGTCAACATCAGCGAATGGTTCACACCTTGTAATTCTCAGGGGTCAGCAAAGTTTTTCAGCAGGGGGCCGGTCCACTGCCCCTCAGACCTTGTGGGGGGGCCGGACTATATTTTGAAAAAATAATAATGAACGAATTCCTATGCCCCACAGAGATGCATTTTAAAGAAAAGCACACATTCTACTCATGTAAAAACACACTGATTCCCAGACCATCCGCAGGCTGGATTTAGAAGGCGATTGGGCTGCATCCGGCCCCCAGGCCTTGGTTTGCCTACCCATGAATTAGCTGGTAATTCTTTTGATCACAGTCATTTTTTCTGAGAGCATCTGAGCAAACGGAAATGTAAAAGTCTGTTTGGAGTTGTTCTGAGGCAAATATTATTCCATTGACCGGTGCATAACCGTGAGCAGGTTTTGTGGGTTGGTTGTAAGTGCAATGAAGGAAACTTAAATTCATGGCTTCCCAGCTTTAACTGGGCAGCCAGTGGGATGCCTTCCTGTGTTGCTGGACTCCACTCCCATCAACCCCAGTCAGCAGGACCAGGAGTCAGGGATGATGGGAGCCCCGACAACAGCTGGAGGGCACCATGTTGGCTCTCCCTGATAGAATCGGTACTGCATTACTCAAGGTTTTTTTCCTTTTAAAACGTTTAGGGCTACTCTCATTTTGACTCAATAAAATCACCATTTTATAGTTGAAATTGGGGGAAATAAATACAGTAAATGGACAAAAGTACAAAGATTCACAAAATGTTTAGGGGTATACGTCCCTCTGCGTCCCCCCAGAAAAAAACCCACTGGCTTTACTAAAACATTAACTGGGGGTGGTATGAAGGTCAGAAATGCCCCTTGATATAGAAATCCCTCAGGGTTCCAGATATAAGCAATGTGTATGCGGTGCATATTTCTTTTAACAGAGAGAGGAACAACTAAAATAGCATGTCAAAGGGACCAAGAGAAGGTATATTATTTTGGGAGGAGAAATTTTCTGTTTTGTAAGCCTGCAGCGCTAGAGGAGAGCAGGGGTCTGATTCTCTCTTTTTCTCCTCTTCAACCCTCAGGATACATTTGACATCAGAATTTTAATGGCCCGGACAGTGAAGTACACGGTCAATTTTACAGACGCAGAAGAGGAAGATTTGCATAGGTAAGTGTCTGGAAAGAGTCCTGCCTTTCCATGTCAAATAATTGTTTCTTTCTACACTTTTCCGCTTATGAGCAAGCGAGGGACTTCACAGCGTGTGTGTGGATCCCATTCAGGGTATTTTAAGCCTCTAATCCTTACTGGCATTTTAGCCTTGCAAATTGCTGCAGTCGACTAAGCACAATATTTAGGGTAAAATATAACTTGGTGTGAAGTTTTTGTTGGTTTAAGAGTAATGACATCTGTCAAGATAATCCTAATAAATAAAATGAAATACAGTCATACCTCAGGTTACAGACGCTTCAGGTTGCGCGTTTTCTGGTTACTTCCAGGTTTTGGCGCTCGCACATGCGCAAAAGCACTAAATCACGCTATGCGCATGCGCAGAAACCCCGAATCGTGACCTGCGCAGATGTGGCGCTGCGGGTTGCGAACGTGCCTCCTGCACAGATCACGTTCGCAACCCGAGCGTCCACTGTACAAGGTATAATAATTGAGTACATAGGTAGATTTTGTTATAATAAATTATCTTGGATAATAATCCATTCTACTTTATTTCTGGTAAATGTGTTGTGCTTAGCAGACCAGTGTCTTAATGAATGGTGATATTTGTAATTTTTAACCATGGATTTCAAATGCCACACTGGCAACTTTCTTCTTCTACAGAGTGGAAATCCCCTTTGTTTTCCAAATGATGCAGTCTGGGCTAATCCATGGTTTGGCCTTCTGGTTTGATGTGGCATTTGTCGGCTCACTGTACGTATTCTTCTTTCTCGCTCCCAAAAGTTACCTTGGAACTTCACTTTAAAGGGAAATGACCCTTTTAATTTGGCCAAATTCAGAACCTTGCTCAAGTTCTTCTCTTGCCTGTTCATTTTATACATCTTTGTTGTAGAGATAGTCAGATTCTCATGAAGGGATCTCACCGTGTTATTTTTGCAGGAGGGCCCATCTGTAGAAAACAGACTTCGCATGAAAAAGCCACTCATGTGTTGGGTTTTTGTCACTTGAATGTGTGAACGTGATGTGGTAACTCATCATAGGTAAAGGGACCCCTGACCATTAGGTCTAGTCGTGACCGACTCTGGGGTTGCGGTGCTCATCTCACTTTATTGGCTGAGGGAGCCGGCGTACAGCTTCCGGGTCATGTGGCCAGCAGGACTAAGCCGCTTCTGGCGAACCAGAGCAGCGCACAGAAACGCCATTTACCTTCCCGCTGGAGCGGTACCTATTTATCTACTTGCACTTTGACGTGCTTTCGAATTGCTAGGTTGGCAGGAGCAGGGACCGAGCAACGGGAGCTCACCCCATCACGGGGATTCGAAGTGTCGACCTTCTGATCGGCAAGTCCTAGGCTCTGTGGTTTAACCCACAGCGCCACCCGCGTCCCATAACTCATCATATAGCACCTCAAAAACAAACCAGTAATAAAAGGCCATCTCCAGCTTCACCACACAGATGAGCAGCCTGGGTGATGGTTTTTTCAACCCTGCCCATATCATGTAGTCAGAACTGCAATGCATCAGACTGACCTTTTGGGTTTTTAAATTACATCCTGCCTTTCAGCCATAGGCTCTCAGTGTGGCCACCAATTAAAATAATTAAAACAATGTGTCAAAAATGGGGGGCGGTGCAGTTGAAATTAAAACAGCAGAAGCAGTAAAACACATGAACATCCTAGGGGCTGGATAAAACCAGATTCAGCTGAAGTTTGCAGAAGCCTGGGAGAATAAAATTGGCTTGGATCCTTAAACTTTTTGCTTTGTGCACAGAAGAGAGTTGTGCTCCTAAAAGGGTTTTTTCCACAGCCTTCTCTGAGTGCATCTCTCCATCCATGAAGAGAAGCTGCTGTGTTCATGGACCAAGAATTTGGGATGTGAGCACCTTTGTCTTGGTCTTCTCAGAAGCTGTTTTGCAGATGTACTAGGTCTGCCTTCTTGATGCAAATTTAATAAATGAGTAAAATACCTATGGCCTTTTAAATGGGCTTGTGGGAGGTAGGGGCGATTGGTTTATTTCTGTTTCTGTTTTATTATGTACTTCTTGTTCTCATTTTGTGCTTTCGTGTTGCAAACAGCCCTGTGATCTTCAGATAGAAATTCAACGCATAAATAAATGTTTGCGTATTTACTGGATTTCTTCTTTCAAGGGTGACTGTTTGGCTCTCGACTGCCCCCACGGAGCCTCTGACTCACTGGTATCAAGTCCGCTGCCTTCTCCAAACTCCTCTCTTTGCCAAAGAAGGGGAAACTCTTTCAGGGAAAGTCCTGTTCGTGGCAAATAAACGGTAAGTAGCAAAGCACAGGCAAATGGCTTTGCTGGCGAAAGGGTTTCCGAAGCGCTGTGTGGGGGAAGATTACTAAAAATTAATTATGTGAAACATCTGCAGATTTGCGTTAACGAACAGAAGCCGCAATAGAAAATATGCTTTGCATCTCAAACCGCAGTGCCGAAAATCCATTTGTGTGTTCAAGTATCACAAAGACAACATAAAAAAATGGTCAGTCTTAGCAGTTGTGCCAAGTGAATTTCAATCAGAGATCAGATGTTTTGCTGCTATTAGCAAGGTACTTGCTCCTAAATTTAGCACAGCAATATTGATTTGTGCTGTAGGAAATATAATAAGCAGCTTTTCTTTGAAGCAGCTTCAATGTAATGATTTTAAATAGGCAATAAACACTCATCAGAGTAACATACACATCTGCCCAGTCTCAGTCTTGCTGTGCAAAGAGGTGAATGTATATGAAATGCTGTGACCTCCTATTTTTCAGCCGATGATAAATCCTTGGTGGCTTTCAGTATTTGTTGTTGGTACTTGAGAGCAGGATTAAAGCAGGGAGGTCAATTTCTGTTTTTTTTTTATATAAATTTTTTATTGATTTTCCAACATAAATAAAAACAATACAATAAACAATACATAAACACACAAACATATAAACATGTATAATTTCACAACCTCTTTATCATAAACCTTACCTCCCCGACTTCCCCATACCTCCCCCTTCCGCATCCCTATTTCAAAATTTCTTCAGCAACCCCTCACTTCAATTGACTGATTACTCATTTTCTTTCTTCCCCCCCCTTTCCTCTCTTACTTAATCAATTTACAGCTGTAATTCTATATTTTCTTGACCTTGACATTTTAGCACTCATCAATTTTACAACAATTCTTAAGGTAAACTTTGAATTTCTTCCAATCTTCATCCACCGTCTCTTTTCCTTGGTCTCGAATTCTGCCGGTCATCTCTGCCAATCCCATATAGCCAATCACTTTCGTCTGCCATTCTTCCAGCGTGGGTAGTTCTTGTGTCTTCCAATACTTTGCTAAGAGAATCCTTGCTGCCGTGGTAGCATACATAAAAAACATCCTATCTTTTCTTGATACCAATTGGCCAACCATGCCCAGGAGAAATGCCTCTGGTTTCTTATAAAAGGTACACTTAAGAACCTTCTTAATTTCATTATAGATCATTTCCCAAAAGGCCTTAATCCTCGGGCAAGTCCACCAAAGGTGATAAAAGGTGCCTTCAGTTTCATTACATTTCCAGCATTTATTATTGGGCAAGTGATAGATTTTTGCAAGCTTGACTGGGGTCATGTACCACCTATAAATCATTTTCATAATATTCTCTCTTAAGGCATTACATGCCGTAAACTTTATACCGGTGGTCCATAACTGTTCCCAGTCAGCAAATATAATGTCATGACCAATGTCTTGTGCCCACTTAATCATGGCTGACTTAACCATTTCATCTTGTGTATTCCACTTCAGCAGCAGGTTATACATTCTTGACAAATTCTTAGTATTGGTTTCTAACAATTCTGTTTCTAATTTTGACCTCTCCATCTGAAAGCCAACTTTCCCGTCTTGTTTAAACACTTCCATTATTTGATAATAATGAAGCCAATCTCGTACTTTAGACTTTAATTTCTCATAGCTCTGTAGTTTAACTTTTTCACCATCTTGCTCTAAAATTTCACAGTATTTTGGCCATTTAGATTCCATATTAAGTTTTTTCACCTCCTTAGCTTCCATTGGTGACAACCACCTAGGAGTTTTATTTTCCAATAAGTCTTTATAGCGGATCCAAACATTATATAGTGCTTTCCTAACAATATGGTTTTTAAATCCTTTATGAGTTTTTACCTTGTCATACCATAGATATGCATGCCAACCAAATCTATTATTAAACCCTTCCAAATCCAAAATGTCCGTGTTCTCAAGAAGTAGCCAGTCTTTCAACCAGCAGAAAGTTGCCGATTCATAATACAGTCTTAAGTCCGGCAGGGCAAACCCCCCTCTGTCTTTTGCATCAGTTAATATCTTAAATTTTATTCTGGGCTTTTTGCCCTGCCAGACAAATTTTGATATATATAATTTCTGATCCCTGTTTTAAGACTGCTGCTCTGTTTACAGGTCACCGGCCTAAACATGTGTACTAGGTGGATGTTGGAAAAGAGGATTCTTGGGGTTCCTGTGGTATTTCCTCTGCAGAATGACACACCTGGGCAAAATTTAACTGTCTAGAAATGAGATGAGAAGCTGGAGTTAATGTAGATTAAAAGAGAGGGGGCGGGGGAATCTTAGAGCAATCAGCATGCCTCCCTCTCACGCTTGAGTGTCCTCTATCTGAAGTCCTTGCGTCAGGAGTTCTTTCTATATTCCTATATATATATATATATATATACACACACACACTTTTTTTAAAATTGATTTTACAAAATTTATAAACGAACAAACAAACATAAATCTTTACTGTGCTTAATCCAATCTTAGGAACTTTGTTAAGTGACTTCCTGGAATCCCCCTGGCTGAGTTTCAGTGTATATCATTGTAACAGTTTTCCAAAACAAATTTCTCATAAAATTAACTTAATCACTTAACATCTTTCTTTCTTTCTTTTCATTTTAACTTTAAACATATTCTTCTATAACATCACATATTTAAATCCTAAGCCTATCTGGTATTTGCAAGTTTTTCTATTTAAATTATCTTAGCATATTTAACTAAATAGTCTTTGAATTTCATCCTTTATATGTAATTTTTATTATTAGCTTTTTAACATATAATTTACAACAATTATTAAACATACTTTTATATCTTATACATTTTTTTTAACTTCCATCAATCACATCTGAAAATTTTCCAATCTTTTCACATTTCTTACTTTCACTATTACATTTAAATCACATAACTAATATCTCTCTTCTTTCTCTTCTTTGTAACATTTCATATATTTCTCCTTACAAAACTTCTTGTAGTCCTACTAGTGTAATTTGTTGATTACAGTTGCTCTTCAAATAATTCATATACTTCTTCCAATCTTCTGTAAATCTCTGGTCCCACAGGTTTCGAATCCTTCCTGTCATTTTGTCCAATTCTGCATAGTCCATATTTTCGTCTGCCATTCTTCTTTTGTCAGTGTTTCTTTTTGCTTCCATTTCTGAGCCAACAATACTCTTGCCGCTGTTCTTGCATATAAAAACAATTTAACATCCTGTCTATTAATATCCTCATTTATAAAACCAAGTAAAAATGCTTATGGCTTTTTAAAAAATGTATATTTCAACATCTTTTTCATCTCATTATATATCATTTCCCAGAATTTTTTTACTTTATTATTCCATCCAACTATTCTTCACAGTCCTCAGGCACTTTAATTATTCCTCATGGGAAAATCTTGGTTACTTCCTGTCACCTTCAACATTGCAAAGTCACCAGGAAGAAGCTTGGCCAATTGGCCTGTGGCGGAAAAGGTGTCCTCTGCCCAGTCACTGAATTACCTGCAGAAATGCACTGCACATAATAATATTCACCTGCTGGGTCTTGTTTAAGACTGAATAGTCAAATTTAATAATTTTTGATAGAATTGCAGAGTTGGAAGTGACCACAAGGGTCATCTAGTTTAACCCCCTGTGATGCAGGAATCTGAGCTGAAGCATCCATGACAGAGGGCCACCCAACCTCTGTTTAAAGGCCTCCAAGGAAGGGAGTCTCTTCCACTGCCAAACAGCTCTTACTGTTAGAAAGTTCTTCTTGATGTTGAGTCTGAGTCTTCTTTCTTGTACAACTTGAAGCTATTGCTTTGAGTCCCACCCTCCAGAGCAGGAAGAAACAAGCTTGTTCCATCTTCCATGTGACATCCCTTGAGACATCTCCTCTTTTCCAGGCTTATTGTTGTTGTTTTGTCGTTTAGTCATGTCCGACTCTTCGTGACCCCATGGACCAGAGCACGTCAGGCACTTCTGTCTTCCACTGCCTCCCGCAGTTTGGTCAAACTCATGTTCGTAGCTTCGAGAACACTATCCAACCATCTCGCCCTCTGTCGTTCCCTTCTCCTTGTGCCCTTCATCTTTCCCAACATCAGGATCTTTTCCAGGGAGTCTTCTCTTCTCATGAAGTGGCCAAAGTCTTGGAGTCTCAGCTTCAGGATCTGTCCTTCCAGTGAGCACTCAGGGCTGATTTCCTTAAGAATGGAGAGGTTTGATCTTCTTGCAGTCCATGGGACTCTCAAGAGTCTCCTCCAGCACCATAATTCAAAAGCATCAATTCTTCCTTCCACTGTTCCTCATAAGGCTTTCTAAAGCCCAACCCTTCCCACCATGGCATTGTGATGTGTAGACTCTAGCAGCTTCTCCTTGCAGGTCCAATGCCCCAAATGGAAGGAAATTTCCCACAGAACCCAGAAAAAGTCATGGGTTGAGCCTAGAGCAGGTAAAGGACACATGCAAAATGAGCAATTGAGAATACAAAACTGCTCCCTGATAGGTCTCCAGCTGCTTCTTCATGGGGCTTTGGGGAGCTTGCGACTCAGAAAGGTAGGATACAGATGGGTCTTATTGCCATGGCAACCCTTGCGCATGCAGCATAGCTAGTTTGCATGTGTGCGCATCTCAGTCAATTTCCCCTCCCCTTTGTACCCAGAATGGGCACCGCAGGCCACTTACAATACAGCATGAAACGGCGCTATCATCTTCTTAGAAATGTCCGTCTGCAATGGGAAGCAAAGCATCCTGACCTTTTTATTTTCATAAGCTTCTCCAGAAGCAGTGCCCAAATCAGAGGCGCCAGTGATGCAATCAAAATATTTCATTTGTATCGACAGCAAGTGCCCCTCATGTGACTTTTCCGTTTAATGGCTTTCCCATAAAGAAGCCCTCTCGCTCGTATTACAATACCTGCTCTTCAAAGGTGAAGTGTATCAATTACTTGCAGAGTTGAGAGAAGCGACAGCAGCGTTTTCCATCGCACCATGCCACAATTGCTATTGTAATCCCACTTGTTTACAACACCGTCTCTATAGCAATGAAATGCAGTTGCCAAAGCCTTCATTAAAGGCCAGGCATCTTGGCTGCCTCGCTGCAAACCTGATCCAGTGGAAACGAGCACACGGACGCCGCAGATGAAGAGAAAAACTAGCAGGCCTTTTGGCCTATGTTTCGTCCAAAACAAAATACGAGAAAACAAAATTTCACAGATCCTTGATAGGGTTGTCGTTTCTGCAACATCTCAGTCTGAGGCTCATAGGCAAGGCCTGGTTTCCAACTCTTGAAAGACCAAAACATAATAATGGGGGGGAGAGAGAGAGAGACAGTAAAAACACAGAGCCCAACAGTGTGGTGCTCCAGAAAAATGGAGGGTGGGGTGGGGGCAGGACTAAAAAATCCATGTTCCACTTTTTATTTTCCACTGTAAAGGGAGAGTGATACAGCCAATTACCACAAAACTCCTAGAATCAATTCAAAGGTAGTAAAATGAATGATGATAGCATTGTGAATACAGTGGTACCTCGGGTTACATATGCTTCAGGTTACAGACTCCGCTAACCCAGAAATAGTGCTTCAGGTTAAGAACTTTGCTCCAGGATAAGAACAGAAATCGGGCTCCGGCGTCGCGGCAGAAGCAGGAGGCCCCATTAGCTAAAGTGGTGCTTCAGGTTAAGAACAGTTTCAGGTTAAGAACGGACCTCCGGAACGAATTAAATACTTAACCTGAGGTACCACTGTATGCTTGTCATGCTGCAGTTTGAATACCAAGGATGATGAGGTGCCCCACTTCACACCCACACACACCCTGTTGTTGTTATTATTATTATTGCTGTAGGGCAACAACCCAACCCCCACACTTTTATTGCAAGCCCCCATTGCTAAACTGTGTGGTCCCCCCCCCAAAAAAAACCCCAAATGGTTTGTTGAGCACTCACCCTAATTTGTTTATGGGGAGGTTAGACAATTTGATATCACGCAGTTGTTGTTTTTTTTCTTGTCCCTTTCTTTGGAGGATGGATGGCAGCTAACAGATTGAGGTTGAATCCTGACAAGGCAGAAGTACTGTTCTTGGGGGACAGGAGGTAGGCTGCTGTGGAGGACTCCCTGGTCCTGAATGGGGTAACTGTGCCCCTGAAGGACCAGGTGCACAGCCTGGGAGTCGTTTTGGACTCACAGCTGTCCGTGGAGGCGCAGGTCAGTTCTGTGTCCAAGGCAGCTGTTTACCAGCTCCATCTGGTATGCAGGATGAGACCCTACCTGCCCGCAGACTGTCTCTCCAGAGTGGTGCATGTTCTAGTTATCTCCTGCTTGGACTACTGCAATGTGCTCTACGTGGGGCTACCTTGGAAGATGACCCGGAAACTACAACTAATCCAGAATGCAGCAGCTAGACTGGTGACTCCGAGTGGCCGCTAAGACCATATAACACTGTTCCTGAAAGACCTACATTGGCTCCCAGTACCTTTCTGGGCACAATTCAAAGTGTTGGTGCTGACCTTGAAAGCCCTAAATGGCCTTGGTCCATTATACCTGAAGGAGCGTCTCCACCTCCATCGTTCAGCCCGGACACTGAGGTCCATCTCCGAGGGCCTTCTGGCGGTTCCCTTGCTGCAAGAAATGAAGTTACAGGGAACCAGGCAGGGGGCCTTTTCGGTAGTGGCACCCACCCTGTGGAACGCCCTCCCATCAGATGTCAAAGAGAACAACTACCACCAGACATCTGAAGGCAGCCCTGTTTAGGGAAGCTTTTAATGTTTGATGCATTACTTTATTTTAATATTGTGTTGGAAGCCGCCCAGAGTGGCTGGGGAAACCCAGCCAGATGGGCGGGGTATAAATATATTATTATTATTATTATTATTATTATTATTATTATTATTATCTGAGGGAGTCCTATTTGTGGGGAAGCGGGTACATTGTGCAAGTGTATCAAATCAGCTTTAATTGGGCTGGATTTGCTGGCATGTGACTGAGACCTACTAGTTGGAGTCTAGCAGTGCTCAATGTCATCCCTTTTAAATACTTTTTCATGGGGTAAAGCTTTGATTCACCTATGTTCATTTGATCAGCTTACAAGTTAGTGCTTTCAATCCTCATTATGCATGGAAAAACACAAGCAAAAGATTAGTATTAATTCAGAAACGTTGAAACTTGTTATGGACATGATTATAGATTTTTAACAAAATTTCTTTTTTATGCAACAGGCAGAGTTACGACATCCAAATTGTTGCTGTAGTGGATGAAACGGGCTTTAAGTCAGGCAATGTCCTTGATTTAAAGAATCCATTTTTTAGGTAAGAAATGCTCTTGGATAAGATTTGTAATCATTACTAAACTGCAAAATTGGATAATCCGTTACTTCTGAATGTTTAGTCTTTAGCGCAAACCTTTGCCATCTGTTGTAGTGAATGCTACATCTAGTCTATGTGCTGTGCATCTCCCACAGCCCCCTCTCCCAATTTGTTATTTTGCTTCTGTGACTTGCGGTGCTAAAACTGGAGTTTTGCTGGTCTTTGTCTGAGGCAAGAAGTGTGTTTGAAATAAGGCCAAAATTGTATGCAAAGATATTTGCATAGAAATGTTGGAAGCCGCCCAGAGTGGCTGGGGCAGCCCAGTCAGGTGGGTGGAGTAACAACAACAACCTGGTCAGAATAAAAAACATGATTGAACTACAGTTCTTTTAAGTGGCTATTGATGACATGGACATGCCTATCTGTTCTCTTTTGTATATAAATATAAAATATTTTTTAGTTATTTTTTAATAAATAATTTTTATTGAATGATTTTATGTTACAAAAAACAATACAGCCATACTACCACTAAATATAATTAAGAAATAAAAATTACATACATCGATATTTAGTTTGTTATTTGTAATTTTATATAAATATAAAATATTTAATGTGCCGCATTTACGAACATGGTTAAATAAGTGATGGATAGTCATCCACCATTCCATTCTGCCTCACAGTGTTCTGCAACTTAAAAAACAGCCACTTTCCCATCAACAGAAATTAATACAATAAAAATGCATAAACAGAGCTACAGTATTCGGTACTCTTACAACTTAAAAAATTATACTGTGCATGTTATACAGCTCATATTCTTTAAATATTTTGTTTATAGATATGCTTAGATTGCGATATGCACCTGCTGGAAGAAAAACCAGGATTGCCAAACCAAGTAGCCCACGAGAAGGTTGAAAGCGAGACTACCCAGCAGGTTCCTTCTTCCGTGAAACCTAACTGTACATATCAAAAGGAAATATTTTATGCAAATTGTATAAAAATATGTTTGTGCTATTTCACACACACCCTTCCCCCCCACCCCCCAAGCTGGGCACCCCCAATCTTTAAACATGCCTGCCTGGAAGTATTTTTCACTGCGTCCAACTGTATTTTCTTGGTGAGCGCATTTATTTGGAAATCATCCCCACTTAAATTAATGGAAACTGGTCTGCAACTCGCACCCGCCTCTCCTGCCTGGCGAGGGGTCAGGGCTGCTGGGAGTTGCAGCCGACAGCATCTGAAGCTCCCCATCTGGTCTCTTCCTGGCCTTCAGGAGGGGAATGTTGGTCACATCTTTGAATGACGCTGTCCTTTGTTCCAGAGGTACCAAAATACCGTATTTTTCGCTCTATAGGACGCACTGGACCATAGGAGGGGGAGAACAGGAAAAAAAACATTCTCCCCCTCTCTGCGCAGCGCCCCTTCAGCGAAGCGGCAGGAGAAACGGAGCCCTTTCCATTTCTCCTCCCGCTTCGCTGAAGGGGCGCTGCGCAGAGAGGGAAAACTGTGCAGCGCCTCTCCAGTGAATCGAAGCCTGGAGAGCAAGAGGGATTGGTGTGCACCGACCCTTCTCGCTCTCCAGGCTTCAGGCGGCTATCCGCAAGCCTTAGGAGCACAGTGGGAACTCCCGCTGCGCTCCAAGGCTTGCGGATAGCTGCCTGAAGCCCAGGGAGCGCAGAGGGAGTTGGTGCTGCGCTCCCCGGGCTTCAGGCTGCAGGCTGCTATCCGCAAGCCTTCGGAGCGCGGCAGGAACTCCCGCTGCGCTCCTAAGGCTTGCGGATAGCTGCCTGAAGCCTGGAGAGCAAGAGGGGTCAGTGCGCACCAACCCCTCTTGCTCTCCAGGCTTCAGCGAAAGCAACACGAAGGCTCCGGAGTGCGGAGGGAGCGCTCCCTCTGCGCTTCGGAGGCTTTGTGTTGCTATCGCTGAAGCTAAGGAGCCTGCATTCACTCCATAGGATGCACACACATTTCCCCTTCATTTTTGGAGGAAAAGTGTGTCCTATAGAGCGAAAAATACGGTAGTACTGGTATCTGAGGTTTCCTTTTCTCAGTTTGCCTAAGGCTGATGCTCCTTGCTTTTCTCCCCCCCCCCCATCCTTCCCTCCCTTAAGGAATATTCTTAACCAAGCCTACCTCATGTTTGTACACATACATAGGATGTATGGGAATACTGCGGACAATACACCAAGCTCATACTCAATGTTTCAGTATTTGCAAGAGGTATTTAAAGATCTGGAGCTTATTTTCAGCTGGCCAATAATGAACCTTTTCCGCCTCAGAGCAATATGGCACTAGGCTCACTACCCAACCAACGTCTCCTCTAACCTGCATTGTTTTCAAGCAATCCTGGACGGTCTTGAGTCTGTCGGCCAGTGACCCTCTTTTGGCAAACCCTTTGAAGAAGGGCCACAGCAGACGACTCTGCCGCCAATCCTTCTGTATGGTTCCTACTTTCTGTAGATAGCACAGCAGCAATTGTACATTTAATCTTTCCAATAAAATTTAAATATGAAATACAATGAGGTTGTGGCGTTGCTTTCTGTGCGGGGTCATTGTAGGAAGTGTAAGGCAAGACACAGGCCAGCTCCAGCCGCCTCACCTCAGTGATTTAGTTGGGCTTCTGCTTTTTTTTTTTTACAGTGGTACCTCAGGTTAAGTACTTAATTTGTTCCGGAGGTCCGTACTTAACCTGAAACTGTTCTTAACCTGAAGCACCACTTTAGCTAATGGGGCCTCCTGCTGCTGCCACGCCGCCGGAGCACGATTTCTGTTCTCATCCTGAAGCAAAGTTCTTAACCTGAGGTAATTTTTCTGGCTTAGCGGAGTCTGTAACCTGAAGCGTATGTAACCCGAGGTACCACTGTAATTCCACACGTGAAACAGGATGGCAAGTATCTCTCCTGGGCTCAGGTGTTTAACTGTGACCCTTACGCGCTCTCTGCTGCCATTCCCTGGGACCCTGCCAGCGGTTATTTACAGCAGCACTCAGCGCACAAAAAAGAAAAAAAGAAAATCTACACAAAGGAGGAACAATGAATTGGCTTTGAGCAGCGAGGCTCAACAGTCTTCCTGCTCTTTTAAATTATGTGCCACTTGATCCAGCCGGCTCCTGTAGTGGAAACGCAGCGCTGGACGTGCCGAGAAGCAAATACATTTGCACCCCTTGTGTTACCACATTTGGAGTGCATGAAAATCACCACTGGCTCTTCAGTGGCAGATGGGGAGAAGGTTGCTCATTGCTGCCGGAGCTAGCCATAATTCATCATCTGTCAGCCACAGCCTGTCTTCTTTCTCCCTAATCTCTGCCTAGGATCTGCCTAGGACTGTTCTGGGAGTCTGTAGCAGACCGTTCTTCGTCTGTTGGCCTGCCTTAACTCTGGGGAGCTTGAATTCTTGGCCACGGCTGCAGGCTCTCTGAGCAGCCACTGAAAGACATGTAACAGGGGGCTGCTTGCAGCTAGTCTGCTGATCAGCTGTTAGTTCTGAAATGGCTGATCTGCAGGAAAGAGAGGGTTTGGTTTATTTTGGGTGGGTGATGGGCAGCATCCTGGCTGGCTGACAGGGCTGATGACCTGGTGGGCATTGCGTGTGTTGTGATTAGAACTGGATCACAGCACCAGGAGGTGGGGAACTCCAGGGAGAAAGAGAGAGTCAAATTCCTGATCCTCATGCAGAAACCTTCTTACACATGAGAGTCTCCTTGCTGGATCAAGATGCACATTTTTCAATATGGATTGGAATCCTAGCCAATCATTAAAGGCCTTGGAGTCAGCAGATCCACTGCACTGTTCCTGAATGATAATGCAAACCCTGAAGTTTTGCAGGGACACACTGGCCCTGCATTATAGGCAGTTGTGCTGGTGTAAATTGTTTTAGGATTGTTGAAGCATTCATGGAATCGTAGAATTGTGGAGTTGGAAGGGACCCTGGGGATCTTCTAGTCCAAACCCTCAATGCAGGAAGATGCAGCTCTCCCATAATGGGATTCGAACCTGCAACCGGGGCCTTATCAGCCCCATGCTCTAACCAACTGAGCTACGTAGCAAACATTTCTATAGGAACCAACCATGTGCTACCTCTTTGTACACATGAGAAAGAAAAACAAGAGCAGCCCTTCTGGAGCTAGCCATGGGTCCATGCGGTCCACACTCCTGTTTCTAAAGAGTAGCCAGCCAGATGCCTCTGGGAAGCTCAGAGTTAGGCCCTCTAGTGCTCAGAGACGGTCCCCAGCCACTAGCGTCCAGGGGTTTACTGCAACTGGACCTGGAAATTTATTCCGTTATCACAGTTAACATCAACTCTTAGCGGTGCTCATAAATTTGTCTTAAGTTCTGCTGATCTTGCTTCCCCTTTCAGTATGAGCTCCACTGTTCTCTCCTCATTTACAATCTGATCCACAATCTAGTGAAATCTATATATGCTTAGGACACAGCTCCATAGCTGCTTTTTTCAATCCGATGCAGAACTTGCTGTCTCAGCTGCGGACTTCATTGCTTTGAAAATGGAGACAGGCGAGCAAGACTGCAGCTGAAACTAGCCAGGCTGTAGCTTTCGTTTCATATTCCTTGCTGAGCTACCGTATTTTTCGCTCTATAGGACGCACCAGACCATAGGAGGGGGAGAACGGGGGGGGGGGAATTCTCCCCCTCTCTGCTCAGCACCCCTTCAGCGAAGCGGCAGGAGAAACGGAGCCCCTTCCATTTCTCCTCCCGCTTCGCTGAAGGGGCGCTGCGCAGAGAGGGAAAACTGTGCAGTGCCTCTCCAGCGAAGCGAAGCCTGGAGAGCAAGAGGGATCGGTGTGCAGCGACCCCTCTCGCTCCCCAGGCTTCAGGCGGCTATCTGCAAGTTTCGGAGCGCAGCGGGAACTCCTGCTGCACTCCGAAGGCTTGCGGATAGCTGCCTGAAGCCTCCAGAGCGCAGTGGGAGTTCCTTCTGCACTCCGGGGGTTTCAGACGGCTTCGCGTTGCTATCGCTGAAGCCAAGGAGCTTCATTCACTCCATAAGACACACACACATTTCCCCTTAATTTTTGAAGGGGAAAAAGTGCGTCTTATAGAGCGAAAAATACGGTACTTTTGCTCCTCCAGCTTAAGTTCTATCTTGACATTTATAGCCAGAATAATAACATAGGAACCTTTTGTAAGATGAATTTCTTTGGGTGAAGTTTGACGTGCCCTTCTGAGATTCCCTCCCGTTCAGACTGTGAGCTGTGAACCTCAGAACCTGGCTTTGAAGGGGAAACTGGTCCTGTATCTCTGTGGTTGGTCACTTAGGCTATAGAGTCAACACGGCATCACTCATCTATATGAAAGTATCAGCTCAATAATGGCTTCACACACCCCAATACATATTTTAACCCATGAATCAACTTGGTCACCAGGAGGTGGATACAAATATTTTTTGTAGAACAATTGCCCCCTTGAGAACTTCTGTTGCCCTGTGAGTCTGTTACTTAGTAGTTGCGGTGTGAGATCAGTGGACTAGGGGGCTAAGCTAGGCCCCTGAATGTTCTCCTGGAGCCTCCATCCCAAATTCTGGGAAGCTTCTGCCTGGCTTAGGGAGGGAGGTGCAATGCTCACATCCAGGTTGTCGCGATGTACCACCTGCAATGTTCCCCCCTCCATGTCACTCTTGCAAGCCGGCGCCTCTGGCCCTAACACTTCCCCATGAAAAAATTCACTGCACGTAACTGCTTGGATGCATTATAGGTAAAGGTAAAGTACCCCTGACCGTTAAGTCCAGTCGCAGACGACTCTGGGTTTGCGGCACTCATCTCGCTTTACAGGCCGAGGGAACTGGCACTTGTCCACAGTCAGTTTGTCTGGGTCATGTGGCCAGCAGGACTAAGCCGCTTCTGGTGCAACAGAATACCAAAACCAGAGCAGCGCATGGAAACGCTGTTTACCTCCATGTGTGTTTTCCTTATCCAAGTTACCATGGGCATTTCCTTCCTCAGTGGTGCACATGGCAGTTACACAGCATTGCTGTGAGCTTGTTATGTCTCTATTCAGCAACTGCATGAAGCACCCCAAAGAACTGCAGGTACAGTTTCGATCACAAAAATCCTGGGACATAAAACAGGAGTATGAGCACCACAGGCAATGACCTGGAATAATGAGCTCCAGAGCAGATGGGCTGCATTTTTTTACCTTCAGTAAATGATGCAATTTGCATTTATTATTTGGCTAATTGTACAAAGGGAGCCGCGAGTCTATGCGGCAGGTGCTGTGCTTCAAAGTCTTCTGAGAAGGGAGGTTTCCTTTTCTAATGTGTACAGTGGTACCTCGGGTTACATACGCTTCAGGTTACATACGATTCAGGTTACAGACTCCGCTAACCCAGAAATAGTACCTTGG